AGCCTAACTCATGATACTTCCAGAGCTCCCTTTATCATATAGTCTTCCCTTATATTTCCTTAACACCAGCGCAAGAGCTACATTGGTAGGGGCAGCAGTTATACACGGAAGCATAAATCATATACATAACCCCATGACTACTGGGCAGCATCAACTACCTGCCTAATCTTACTTAAGAGTCCTTTGTATTCGTGGGATACACGGAACCACGTCAATCTTTCAGTTCAGCTTTTTAGAGTACTACATACAGTGGGCTTGGTTGGGGCTTTCATCCCAAGCTAATTTAAGACACATACCAGCAAACTGTCCCAGCTATTTTCAAAAAAAATGTATAGTAACTATCAGCATTCAGAAGCCCCTGCCCGCCCCCCACCACCTCTACCTCCTCCCCCAATTCTGTATTACTTGAGTGCTTGCAAATCTAATCATTTATCAATGAATTGCAGTATGTGGTTTAAGCCAGAACACTGTAGGGAAGGGGCTCGTAAACCTTTTGCTGTTGCTTGCCTGGGACACAATTCTGATCAAAGCCATCCTCTTGGACAAAGTAGAACTGCCCCCTAGGGTTTCCTAGGATGAAATCTTCACAGGAACAAGTCGCCAGGTCTACCTTGGAGAGCCTGTGGCTAGGGAGTTTGACCCACCGCCTTTTGGTCTGCATTAGCAAGCACTTAATCATTGTGCCACCAGGCTACCTTATTGTAAAGTTCACCGCTGTGGTTTCTTGCCTCCAGCAAACTAAAACTCCACGTGTGTCTTGTCAAGGGCAGGGGCAGGGGCAGGTGTTCACCTGCTCCTCTCCCTGCTCGGCTTTCAGGAACTAGCTGTTTAAGGTCCTGTTTAAGCACCGCCAGGCTTTGGGGATTTATTTTCAAGCACACTTTCTCAAGCATTCTTATGTTTCCTTGTCCTGACTCACTACCTCCTTCTCCGTCCTTCCTTCTTAACTCAAAAAATGTTGACACAGCTTTCTCCTTTAGGGCTACCAAGATGCTAGATAGTATTCATTCCTGATGTACTTTTAGCGTATTCGCATGGTAGGCTTGTCAAGCTTGATCTGACCCATGGCTGGATTCCAAAGGTAAATGACTGCAACAGAGGGGCTCTCTGTGTGCTCCATTGTCTTAGTGGCCAGGCCGGGACTCGAGTGCTTCTCATTTACAAGGGGCTCCTTTTGTTCTGTCACACCACGTCCTTTCCCAGTCCCGAATCACCTCTGCAAAATGTAATCCACATAAGGAGCCAGTCTCCTAATGCATAGTCATGTGCCTACAATGTCCTCTACGCTATCCGTTTCCAAATGTTCTTTTACAAAAATTGTATGAAAAGATCCACACGAACAAGCATCTGTCATTTCAACCATTTTAAATGTACAATCCAGTAACTTTAATTCTGTTCACCAGGTTGTGCAATTCTTAACCGCTACTCACTTCCAACTTTTAGCAGAAACTGTGTCCCATAAGCGATGACTCCTCTCCCCAGCCTGCCCTGGTAGCCACTAACACTTGTTGGTTTCCATGCATTTGCCCATTCTAGATAGTTCATGTTAAGTGGGAACAGTTGACAATCATTCTTGCTGGCTATCTTTGCTAGCAATCTAATCTGGAGAGCTGCAGCTGATGAGGGCAGCGGTTTTGTTTGTCTCCTTTTCTTTTTAAATGGAGCCCAGGGAAATCAGATCGCTTAGCAGCAAGATCAAAGGGCATCTCCATGGCACAAGAGCTCTGGGAAAGGTGAAAGCTCGGGGAAGGCCGTGCTGCTCATTCTACTGAATGCCCAGGCTCAGGCTCACCCCTGTTCCCTCATGATGCAGGTTGGCTGCTTTCCAGCAGGGCAGGTCAGCATATGATGTTACAAATGCCTTGAGGTCTTGGCAGTTAAATGGTAGGGAAGAGGTGGGTTTGGGGACAGAGACAACGGACAAGAATGAGGCGAGTCATTTCTTAGGAGGGAATTGACTGCTGTCAGGACAAGCCAAAAGTGATAGCTGTCCAAACAGCTCACGCTTGACCATCACAGATGGGGTCCCACATCACACACGGTGGCGTCTTGGCTTCTCTGGATGGATCTAAAGAGCAAGCACAAATAGTTTCACACTTGAAAAGTGGAGAAATATTTCACAGGCAGATGGAAGAGAAGTCACGTGATGAAGCAGAGTTGGAGAGAAAATGCTTAGTCTGAAGCTTTGAAGATGGAGAATGGAAGGGGTCCCGAGATAAGAAACTCACGGAATTCAGCTCTAGAGGCGAGGAAAGGCAGGGGATCGGTTGTCCCCTCAAGCCTTTGGAGGGAGCCTGGTCTTTCTAACACCTTGCATAAGAATCATTTCACAGTTTGAGCTTCCAGAACTGTAAGAGAATACATTTTTGTTGTTCTGAGCCCAGCAGTCTGTGATTTGTTGTAGCAGTCAAAAGAAACCAAGATGTATGTTTGAGTCCTTTTATTTAAATTTAAAGTCATTTTCTCTCTCTGTTGTTAGTTTCCATTGAGTAGGCTGTACTCTTGGCACCCCTAGATGCAAACTAGAGCGGTTCTCTTCTGACACACAAGAGGTCACCCTGAGTTGGAATCACCTTAATAGCAACCTTGTTTTTGTGGAGGGCAGGGCAGGGGGGTGTCTTTGCAAACATCCAAATGAAGGGCCTATGTCTCATAAAGGATAACTCTCCCTTGTGCCTCCATACCTATATCAAGGCCAACTAATATTGTTTCATATGCATTTCTCTAGAACCCTGGTCACACAGTGGTGAAGCACTGGGCTGTTAACCAAGAGGTCAGTGGTTCAAACCTATCTGATATCTGGCAGAAGAAAGACGTGGCAGTCTGCTTCTAAAAACATTTCCAGTCTTAGATACCCTGTGGGAGAGCTCTACTCTGTCGTCCGAGGTCAGCATGAGTTGGAATCAACTAGATGGCAATGGATTTGATTTTTGTTTTTAATTTTTGATGTAGTCCTCTGGCCCCATACCCTTTAGCTTTAGGCACATCTTGTTTGCAGAGTCCAATAGTCTTGTCCCAGCCTCCATCCTGCAGGCAAAGGGATCCATCTAGTGTGAAAACCTGCCCAAGCTCCTTCCTGGGTTAAAGTTCTGTTAAGGTTCACCGTCTTCAGCATGACACCCAGGCGATTCCTTCCACGTCGGAACTCATACCTGTCCATTCAGACTCCTCCTCCACCAACCACATTCACAGCTTGTTTCCTTTCTTGCGAAACACTTGTGGTTCCCTAGCCATGACTAGGCCTCCTTCCTCTCCTCTTTATTTTCTCTGCTGGAATAGCTTCCCTGCCCCTCCCCCACCCCCACCTTCTCACTGGACCAATTCAGAGCTACCTTCTGTTATTGGTGGTGGTGAAGTGTTGGGCTGCAACCCTGAAGGTCAGCAGTTCAAAACCATCAGCTGTCCAGCGGGAGACTGTCCTGTCAACAGTCTCAGAAACTCAAAGAGGCAGTTCTACCCTGTTCTATAGGGTCACTATGAGTCGGCATGAACTCAGTAGCAGTGGCTCCACGCCCCCTCCCCCATTCACTGAGGAAGGGCCTTGGCAGCATAGTCCTTATCTGCTAACTGCAAGATTAGTAGTTTGAAACCACCAGATGTGTTGAAGTGGAAAGACAGGTTTTCTACCCCTGTAAAAAGTTACAGTCTTGCAAACTCACAAGGGCAGTTCGTTCCCTGTCTTACAAGGTTGCCACGAGTGGGGATCGCCTCCAGGACTGTGAGCTTGCTTTTGCTTTTCTTTCCCTACGCATTGACTCTTCCATGAGGCGTCCCCAGCCGGCACACTGGGAACAGGTTAGTGCCTTAACCAGTGTTATCAAAATGAACTAGTTATGTCTGCCTTCTCACGAGCCTGAAGCTTGCCACGGGCTGGGACTGTTTCTTAAGTAATTTAGGTGTCTGCAGCTCCTAGTACCAGTAGTTGGTTCAACTAGTGTTGCTGAATGAGCCGGTCAGAAATAATGTTTGGCTGATGTGTTCTATCCCTAATCCATAAAACATGTATAGTCTGCTCTCGTCTTTGACCACCATGGTCTTTAGTTTTTATACAATTTAAGTATCAGGAACAAATGAATGAGATCCGGATGAAGTGGAGGAATAGCTCTGGGGGTTTACATTACATTTCTCAATTGAAATTTGACTTGTTTATTATAATAGACTCTTCTCTAGGATTCTTTGCACACTGGTTACAAGTTGGCCTGCAATCTGAAAGGTCAGCGGCTCAACCCAGCAGCTGCTCCACCAGAGAAAGACAGGGCTTTCTACTCCCATAAAAAGTTACAGTCTGGGAAACTCAAAAGGGCGGTTCAACTCTATTCTCTAGGGTCACTATGAGTCGGCATTGACTTGAAGCAGTGAGTTTGGCTATTGGTTTTGATCTTGGGCCTTTTGACCTCTTCCACAATTCTAATGAGTTGGGCTGAAATAGAGTCATTCCAGAAGTAGATTTTGCATTGTACTCAATGTGGAGGTGACCTAAAATTAGCCTTGCCAGCAACTACTCTGCTACCTTATCTTAAACTGATGAATACCTACTGCCAAGAGTTTCTGGATGCATTATATTTAGCGCAGAGTAGGGACGCGTAGAAAGAGATGCGGCAAAAAAGATAGCTAACCATGAGCCTAGTGGAACTCTTAAAGTTGCCCTGGTTCTGTGCCAGCTCTTGTTATCAGGCCCTTTCAGCAGTCCCCAGAGCCCAAGCCAGCCCCAAGGGTTCAAGAGCAGCCCAAGCTAGCTCCAGAGGCCACCTTGCCCTAGGAAACTTGTCCCGCACCTGCACGTCCTCCTCGGCTGGACGGCGAGGCCGGGATGGGGGCCCCAGCGGGATCCGCCGCCCCCCCGGCCAGGGCCCGCCCTGGCCTCCGCGCAGAGGCCTCCCAGATCACGCGCGGCCCGGCGGCCCCGGCCTGGCCCAGCCAATGGGCGGGCGGCGCCCGCATGACCCGCGCCGGCGGGAGGGCGTGAGCAGGCAGGCCGGGCGCGCACGCTGCCGGGTCGTATCGCCGCTCCTGCCGCCGCCGGGACGGAAAGTGAGCCGCCTGGGTCCCGGGTGGGAGCGAGCCAACGAGCGGGTCCCGGTGCTCTCCGTGCCCAGGGCGAAGCATGGCGGCCGCCAAGGTAAGCATCTGCCCCTGCCCGGGGCAAGCTCGCCGGTCGAATGGGGCTCCAGCGGGGGCCGAGCCCGGGGCTCACGTGCTCCGGGGAATGCAGAGGAAACAGGGCTCGGGCCACCTGCTCAAGCTTGCCGCCGCGGGAGGAGGGAGGTGGCCCGGCCTCTGGGGCTGCACATCCTCCTGCGGCCGGTGCGGGACAGAGGCATGACCTTGCATCAGAAACTTGGCCGGCTGGGCCCTCCCACTTGGCCCGGGCGTGCAGTGCCGGCGGGGCTGAGCCCAGCTGGGCCGGCGAGGGGCAGGCGCCGGGCGCGTCGGGGCTGGGGAGGGGTCGAGGTCTGCGGGACCCTGGGCCAGCCCCGCGCGCTCCGGCCCCTGACCCCGGTTGTTGTTGACCGCGGCTTCTCCTTCCAGGGGGCACAGCCCGGCCTGGAGCCTGATCCTATTAGGTTTCAAGGGCTCCGCCCTCCGGAAGGTGGGAGTCACCTTGGTTTCCGTTTTGGAAATGGCCTGGGAGAGTTGGCCTGCGTGTGTGCGCGCCTCAAAACGCACGAAGACCTCTATTTTTCCCATCTTTTCTTCCCCGACCCCCCCGGCCCGGTCTCATCTCTGCATTTGACACTTACATACCCACCTTGGAGCGTTTGAGAGACTTCTCTTTGGAAATGACAAAGTAGATTGCCCTAGAAAGCTGTCATCCCTGTGAAGCGCTACTTGAAAGGATTTCTGTGTAATGTGAATCATTCACGAACTCAGGCAAAGGGCAACTTCGATCCTCTGACCTTTCCTCTTTCACCGTTTCTTGAAACCTGGACACCATTTCAGTCTCGTTGGACTCCATTTCAACTTTTCTGGCAGGATACCATATTTAATCCCAATCACTTGAAATCATTGGAATTTATTGCTTTTAATTCCAGGTTCAAGAAGGCAGCCCTTTAATCAAGCCTACACAACTTCTTAGATCATTTTAAACATAGTGAACTTAAATATACCCAACATTTCAAACATTTGTCCTTAATCAAAACTCCGTGATAACCCTCAAGAGGAAAACATGGCCAACACATCATATTCCTATTTATTCAAGTGAACTAATCACATTTGCAATGGAAATTGTAAGCAGACAAATATATTTAAATGCTGTTGTATGGCAGGCTCCCCAAATCCCCAGGCTTCTTCAGGTTCCCAGACTATGTGGGCTAAGTGGTTTTTCCATTTTTTTCTAATTTCTCAGGGTTTCATCCCTAAGAGTAGCCTCTGTGTGAGTGTGTGTGTGAATATGTACAAACAGGTTCACACATAGCTGTTTGATGCAGCTTTATTTTACAGGATCCTCATATTCACTTTTGAAAGCTGCTTTAACCCATTTAAGCCCCAGAAATCAATAATCCTTGGACTTTGGCATTAAATTTACATACAAGTTGTTGGCACGATTTACTATAAATTGGTTTCCCCAGGATGACTTATTCTAGTAGAGTTCTGTGGAAATGCATAACCATTTTTCATTTTCTTTTTAAACACATCTGCAGGTAACTAATTCTACTTGATTTGGAGAGAGAGTAAATGTGGGACTGAGATTGAATATGTCTAGACATGGAATATAGGACTAAGAGATCAACTAATATAAAGTGAAATAAGTGACATTGAAGCAAGTTCAACTTTTTTGGTTGTATTTTTTATTAAGCTGTTATATCACAGGGAACAGAGCAGTGATAGCTAGCCACATAGAGAGAATCAGGGGGAAATGAAACGTTTTGATGATTTAGAACCTTGTGTTTTTGTTGAATCATTTAGCCTCGCTTCTTTTGGTAAAGGATTTCTGATGGTTCATGTCATCTGTACATATATATTTTACAGTCCATCCAGATATACCAGAATCAAGCCTGAGTAACTGTGAAAAAACAGGATAAAGTAAAATGAAGCCAGGGCTAAGGCTAGTGGAAAATAAGTGTGTGTTTGCCAGAGGTGACTGCATTTTCTAGCAGCCAAAGCAAAGAGGAAATGTTCAGTAAGGTAGTTTAGTTCACCAGTTACTTGAGAGAGAGACCTCCTTGTGTGGCTGAGGCCTGTTTCTCCCATGTCTATGTGCTGTGGGGGACTGCAAACAAAATGGCCTCGTTGAGCACTCGTGTGTGTATTTGGATCCATGAGGCCATTCCTTGTAGTAGTCTTCTTTGTAGCTCAAGGGCAGTTCTGTAAATATGGTCTTGAAAGGTCCCTCAATGACACTGCTGGCTAGCTTATCCAAGAATGACTCTCATTGAATTGCCTTTGGGCACCACACTTTTCTGTTGCTTCTTTTAGATACGAATCAGTCCTGGGCAGCCACATGGAAGCCTGTGGTTCTTGCCTTTTCTTGGAATGTAAATATTCAATGTTGACAGTTAGACACAGAACCCTAGCCTTAAAAATGTCTGCTTTTGGGGTAGGTTTGGCATTTCCTATGAAAAGTTGAGGAACCTGAATGAAAGAGAAGTTCATATCATTGGCATATCTAAGAAATTGGGCCAAGAGTCTGGAGACTCAAATATTGTAGGTTCATTTGAACACTCACTATCCTTAATTATGTTTGAATATTTAAGCAGACTTGATACTTTGTAGTTGGACTCAGTGATCGCCTTATCTCTTGACCATTCAGTCTTAGATTCCTGGGTCTTTCTATTTATGCAACTGTCACTAATTATCCAAGTCCCTCTTCTCTTACATATTTAAAACAAAATGATCGAGAATCCAGTCATTTTATTTTTATTTCTGCCATGAAGATTATTACTTAAAGGCACAAGAGGTATTTATTTGTTCATGAAGGAAGCACCATTGATCTGAATTAGGATTTTTAGGTCAACTCTGCAGTAAAATAACTTTTCAAAAGTTTATTTTATATGGCTCTAAAATATATTTTTAAAGAGTAATAATAGTGAAGTCATCCTTTCTTTCCCCCTTTGATTGTAGGGAACATTACCTCTCCGTAATTGGTTAATTGACTCTCCACTCAGAAGGTTGACTTTAACCTAAGAGGTTTTTAGTTGAGTGCAGGCATGATAGTTGTCCAGTCATCAGATTGGACATGGACCAATAATTTGAATGCAATTAGCTCAAAACTGAAAGGATGACATTTTGTGACAAATTAAAGCTTTACTAATAATGAAAAATTGCTATATAGGATTAGTACATGTTGTATTGATTTTCCATTCCATTCTCAGATGGGTTGTTGCCCTTATTATTTACTTTAGATTATATATTGCACACTTTCTAATGTTGTAGGCATGTTGGCTAAAGTGAAGACTCTAAAATAAATTAGGATCGCTTTGGATTCTCATTAAAACCAAAGACACAGCGCGGGCTAAGTTCTCTGATGGATTTTCTATTAGACCTCATAGAGAACCAGGGAAAGAGGTGCAAGGAGACCAAGGAGACTTCTGGGAGGTGGTGGTATTTCAGAAGGAATGGATGGAGAAGAAAGCTCCATCCCAGTGACAGACACACAGGGAATGGAAGGCAGGCAGGTTAGCATTTGCCACATGTAGGAGTGTGGCTGTTAACTGTGCCCATTAGGTCGCACACTCTTTGGTAGGGGAAGACTCAGACACCTGGAGGGAATGGAACTTGCCTGTGGCCTGATCATTAGAAAGTTACAGAGCATGGGCTGCATGCAACACTGCTCCTCTGGCTCCAGAGTCCACAGCCCCTTACACGGTTGTGAAAGTAATCTGTGATGCAGAGATAATAGGACACAAGGAAGGAGGGGGAGAGGACTAAAATGTGGAAGTTAGAAGGTGCCACAAATATAAGCTAGACTTTTTACTTAAGAACTCACATAGTTTTTACTGTGTACAGGCCCTTTTCCAAGTGGTTTACAAATAATAACTCAATTTTTGGTATCAGTACTCAGTAGTAGAGTACTGCCCAGAAGGGCCCAAGAAAATTAAGAAATTGAGAAATCACTTTCAGGTTGCCCAGTGAACCAGATGCTGCTGGTTAATTTCCAGAGTCTCTGGTTTAGATTCCTACTGTTCTAGTTCAGACCTTAAAAGAGGGTGTTATTTACAATGATGCGTTGGTGAGAATTCATGTGCTGTTGATTACAGACATGTACATTTCCTAAAAAAGTATTTGTGGGGGACCAGCTCCACAATCAAATGGGTCCTAGGGGTGGTTTTGTAATTGAAGGGTAAATTAAGAAACGACAGACATGTAAGTGCTCACCTCTCCTATGGTGACTGGAACCAGAGTCATGCATGTAATGGGTAGGGGAGGTACTAAGGGCATGCATGTGACAGGAAGGCACATAGGTGTTCTAGAGTTAGGATGGCGGCCTAACATTGGTTGTCTCTGAGATGGCCCGACCTTAAGTGTCCCTGAGTTCTTCTCCAGGGGCACAATCTATGATTCTTATGAGAAGGGTGTGGCCCTACTTAGGGTGGGACGGACAATAGAGTCTGATTGCTCTTGATGGAGACAGCCTTCAAGCAGTTGACCTTCAAGAGTATGGTAAGTAACTGTGCTTGCAAGCAGCACTTTAAAATGGCATTATTGGGGGTGGGGGTGGGGGGCATTTGGGGGAATCACTTTTACTCAGGAGAAAGTGACTGGGTTGCAACTCCAACTCAGGAGTGTGAAAGCCGTCTTCCACCAGCAGCTGCCTCCCAGCCTCCTTGATTATGAACCTTGAGAATTTGTCTGCACACACTCTCTTCCCAGTCCTCAGTTTCCCACAGTGCTTCGTTTTAAGTACTTTGAATGCGTCGTCGGGGGACCAGTCCCCGGAGCAGGACAGCGTATTTGGAAAAGTAGAGGGTCAGGGAAAAAGAGGAGGGCCCTCAATGAGATGGATTGATAAAAATGGCCGGAACAAATAGCTCAAACAGCTTTATGAGGGTGGCCCAGGCTCGAATTCGTTGCAAAACTTCTGTCGTACTTAGGTTTGCTGTGAGTTGGAACTGACTTGTGAACACCTAAGAGCAACATATTTCCCAGAGGAACCCCGATGCCATGTTTCCTTGGATGGTT